TACATGACTCTTTGCAGACCAGAGGTGACTTTGTTGACTGCTGGGGTTTCTTTCTATTTAAGTTTAAAGTTATAATCTGGATGGTTTACTTGCACAGATTATGCCTATAATATCTCGGGAAACTGAAGACATTTCCTCCTTTTACACTTGGTCACACTGTGCTGCCTATGCTTTCACTGATGATGTTGTCTTTTTCTTTTTTTGAATAAATATATGTACAATGAAGCAGAGCGATGGAGTCTCTCCGTGCAACAGACAGGGCGTTTCATTTGGAGAGTCCAAACCCCTGCACCCTGCTCATGTTTCTCCTCTTTACACTGCCTCCTTCATGCGAATAGAGAATGAAAAATTATACATCCGAAGTCTGGATTATTTTATGTTTCCAAATTGGGTTCAAGAGGATGATAAGAACAAAATTCAAGCATACAGCACTATTCAAAATGTTTGGAAGCACTGTGCACAGAGACAAGAGGAGGCAACAGCACTTTTCACACTGTCCATGAAGGACAATTAACTGTTGCTGGGCTGCTTGAGAAATAACAGATGTCATAAAATTAGGCATACCCCCTGGCACGGGCCCAGCAGGACTGAAACTGTGTCAAAGAGAAACAATAACAAGATACTCCAGGGCTGGGCTGGGAGGGGGGTCTAAATGAGCTGTATGCTTTCACAGGGGCTCTCCTTTGATGTACAAATGTGTCAGTCAGGGAGGGTGGTTACTTACCCAGAATCCCTTTCATCTCCTGTAACGGAGTGTCTATATAAACAGTATACTGTACCTCGACTCATGCTTTGAATCGCACTGCTACTCTGTGGCCGTGTCATTCCTGTATGCATACACAATCAACTCACAGTGATTGTGTATGCATACAGTGAATACAGTGAATCTCACAGCGAACCTGACTAAGAGAATTCCTTTTTCTACATCCACCAATACCCTCACTCCCTGCACAGAGACCCGTTTAAACTACTGCTGTCTGACTGTGATGACAGCCCAAGGCCTCCTCTTTTTACTAGGTAAAACTGCACAACCAGGGAGCCTGCATGCTGCCCGACAGATCTTCACAGGGAACCTACGTGTTAAATATGCAATATGTTCTTTAAAGTAATCTGGTGAGGTCGGGTTTCCTAACAGCTATCTGCGTTTTCATACATGCTCCTTGACAGTTTAGAAAGAAACATGTATCCACCCTCTCTCTTGTAAACAGGCTTCACCTCAAACTGAGAAGTCTTGGGGAAAAAAGCATGCACTGCAGACTTAATAATATTTACATTCATCTCCCATTCACTGGCACATTTAAGAGCTTCACAAAATACCACCTTCAATGGTTGCATAGGATATGAAAAGTCAAGCTGGACTGAGTGGACTGAGCTGACTCATTGCTGATTGGTAGAGAAGCTATTAGAGGAATGCAATTTTATTGAACGCTTGCAAATGTATTCCACCCCAAGTCTTACAGACCACCTCTCCCCAGTGCAAAAATTCTCACCGATCTCCGTCATCATCGAACGTAGTCCGTGCACAAAGAGCTCTGCTTCAGAGTTACTCATCTGAGCGCGTTCCTTCAAATCAGCACCTAGGTGGGAGCAGACAGCATTTCAGAATTCAGGGGAATGAACTCCTGATCGCTGGAGAGAATAAATAGGAATAAAAGCCTACTGCTCCAATGTTTTTTTATCTCATACTACAGCAAGAACTTCCAGCGCTTTCCTCACTGCAGTAAGAATGTGTTGCTGTTAATGTCCTGTGAACTGAAGGATGGAAAAACTGCGTTACCCTGGGTTGGGTAAGGAGGCCTGTGAAGAATACTGTTTTCTCTGAATGACATTTCAGTGGGCCCTCACACTGGCACTGACCTGCGCAGAAGACCCCCTGCACCGCGCTCCGGAACAGCACGACTCTGACCGCGGGGTCGTGATGGAGCGCGGACACCAGCTCCCTCATCTACAGCACAGGGGGAGAAGGGGACAGGAGGCTGAGCTCACCAGGGGAGCAAGCAGAAACACCATCAGAGCACACCCTGGCAGCAACGTCTTCTTGCAAGGCAATAACCGGTATCACAGGCTAGGGCTGGGCGATCATTCGATAACGATAATTATCGGAATACAATTTTCCTCAATATAAATTTAACAAAAGTTGGCTAAATGTTCGATATATATGTTTATGCTTTTGCGCGCAAAATACTGCGCGAGTGTGCGTGCGTGCGTGTTGCAGACCGGGCAGCTAACGTGGTGGTGTTGACCCACACGGTGGTGGCTGACAGGATTGTAGTTAGAGTGGAGAAATGAGCGACACTGAAGCAAATGTAGTGCTGCCAACGACCAGCTCGAAGGACGATAACATCGTCAACAGGAAAGGTCATTCAACTTCGGTAATTTGGAGATATTTTGGCTTTTTACGATCAGACATAAAACAGAGCACTTTAAACTTTGCAGTCTGTCTGAACCATCTTCTATGTGTGTTTTATCACACTGCAGTATTTCATTTTTCTATTAAGATATTTATTTTGTAAATTTTACTCATGCATATTTTGACAAAAAAAACTTGAATACTCTCTATTCATTTGTTTAATGTTTCTGCTGTGTGGCAAGTGTTTGTTGCGTTCTTAAAATAAAGAGTTGTTTAATTTTCCAACTAACTGTTTCTTCAACTTTCACTCAAGAGAAAAAAAAATCTGCCTTTAAACTTGAAATAAATAATAATTTGTGATGTATCGTGATAATTATCGATATCGACTGATATGAAAATTTTTATCTTGATAATGTGTAATTTTTGGCCATATCGCCCAGCCCTATCACAGGCTATTCCAAATGCTTGAATGGTAGGATAATCCTATTATTTTAAATTCAACAACATAACTTAAAAAGAGTTCCAGCTCTAGAAGCAGTGAGGAATATAAAAATGACTTGGGTGTCGACCACAGCGTCTGCTTTCAGCTCAGTGTTTTTTCCATCCTGTATTTGCCGTTTGTTCATGTTTTTGCAGGCGACGCTCTGCCCTTAGTGTTAGACGTGACCCGGCAGGTGGCTGCCTTTCTTATCAGAGAAGCGAGCTCCTGTGGCTTTTTGTGCAAATTCAAATTCAAAAGCTTCACAGGCACGACCGGCAAATGACCGTGCTGACTGCGGTGGGTAAACTGTTATATCAAGCGATATCAGGAGACAATAATATCGGCTCTGCCGCTTACCTGGCTCACAAACACCTTCCCCAGGGCGTTGCGGGCTCGCTGCCGGCACATCACGACTTCCGCCACCCCTGTGGAGAAGCCCAGGGAGGAATAAGGAGCAAAGGAAGGCGAGAGAGCGGGGCTGAGAGAGGGCGGTCAGAGGGTTGAACCGGACACCGCGGTACCGTTTCAAGACCCGTGGGAGAAAGAATAAAGGTGCTGTGGCCTGGACAGGTAGCCGGAACAGGTGTTTCTGGGTGTCAAAACATGAATCAGAGACCTGAGGTCAGAGAAGCCGGGAGATAAGGGATAAGGCACCTTCAGTTATCTACTTTAAGAAATATATCAGAAACGGAGATAACGAGCGAGGGATATACACTGAAGCACAGAACACTTTATTTGGTAGTTATCGTGCTGCAGGAACTCCCAGGTGTGGTAAGACCGTCAGGTTTGAAGGGTACAGAGTCAGAATCTATCCCAGTGAGGCTGGGGGGGTGACAGTCAGTGAAGACAGCTCCGCAGCAGCTGCTGTGGAAAACACTGAAGACGCATCTTCTGTGAACTTTAAAGACATTACTAAAGCTGGAGAGCAAAGTTAGACTGGTTCCTGTAATTACTCACGACGAGATCAAATGAAGGCGAGAAGACAAGGTGACCTTTCAGGAGGGTTAATGTTGTTTGTTTTTCGTGACACCATTATTCAACACCCTTTACGGTTAGCCTGTTGGCTTTTAAACCCACAGCCCTCCAGTCAGAAGTCCGGAGCCCTGGGCTTTACGCCACACTGCAGTCCTGCAGAAAAGAAGCTTGTTTTAACACCTCTGGCTTACTGGGTGCTTCTGAGGGCACACTGTTTCCCATGCTCAGAGTGACTCAGCAGCTCTTTCCCCTCCACCGAGTCCATTCAGTCCATCGCCCAGGCTCATGGGTAACTCTGCAGGGCAGGTGCAGCTCCTGAGACCCAGCGTGGCGCAGGGCCAGGCTGGGCAGCTGCAAAGCGACACCAGGACACCGCAGGGCGCAGCTCAAGATGGACGAGCCAAGTGCGTCACTCTCTCGCTAATCATCCACAGGTGTGGGGGGTCACACCTGTCCAGCAGTTAGATACAATCCAGCCTTCGGTACATTCGGTACTGCTGCAGGAGCCACAAACTAGGCACCTGCCATCTCAGGCTGCATAGGGTACCTCACTTCTATTATAGACCGATGTGAAGTAAAAAACAAACGATACACGCGATCCATTAACAAAACCTACAAGAGCCTGCAGAGTCCAAACCGAACAGTGGAAGAGGGGCTCCTGTCTCTGCTCCCCGTGTGTCAGCGCTATGCTTGCTGTTGCCCAAGGCAAAAACGCTGTGCTGGCAAAAGTTGAAAGGAAGGCAAATTAATTTCAACACTTCATTAGTCTGGTACTGTAAGAGCCACCTGAACCAGAAAATTGCTTGAGCAATATATGCTTTTAAAATATATTTTAAAAAGACTACAACTGCTCACAAGCCACAGTCTCTGTATTCGACTGCCGACTTTAACCCATCTCCTCTCACTCGTCAGAACAGTGAAAAAACTCGGCCGCAAAATACTGCACGTCTTTGTATTACACCCAGCAAACACTGGGTATAGTGTTTTACCAGTGCGTGGGTGGGTCCGGTTATCTGTTCTGTATGTCTGAACACTTTGATTCTAATAGAAAAACAATTCCCAAGTGTTGCTACCGCTACATTGCTACACGGTAACACTGGGGACATCGCAGAGTGGCGCTGCTCAGTTGATCCACATCAGAATAACGCAAACCCCCCGAGCCCTCTCTCACCTGTGTCTTCTCCGTCCAGCCGGTTTAATCGCACCTCCACCGAGTCAGGGCTCGACGGCTCCGAGTGCAGCCCTCGACCATGGATTCGCAGAGACCCCAGGAGTCCCGCAGCCGGTCCGGACCGCTTCGCCCCGCCGGGCACAGGAGCTCCTGCACGGGCTGCTGCGCCCACCGACAGCGGCCTGAGGCCAGCCAGGAGAGCTCGGCACGGCCAGGGAGAGAGTTTCCTAAGCAAAGTCATTGCCGTTTGCTTTCCCAGCAGGGTCACTCGCCTCAGAGGTAGCCGTCCGCCACACGGTTTATGACGAGGAAGTTAAGATAAAAAAACAAGTTTCGGGAAAGGATATCCCGCCCACCCAAAGGAGGGGCCTTGGTGAAGTAAGGGGTATGGAGTGGTGAAGGGTTAGTTTTAAAATCCGCACACCAGTTATCGGCAGTTCCTGGCACCTGTGGAGTTGCAGATTGTATAGTTTTACATTCCTTCCATCTCTTTCGTTTTTAACTAGCTGCCTGCTCTTGTATAGACTTTCTGATGAGTTAGGACTTTAGAAACGTTTTTCTTTTTGTTTTCACCCGGAGAGTGCTACCGTAGGCCTACCTGTTTATACCGGATTTTGAACACGTTTCCTTAGAAATGCAAGACGTTACTGCTTTAAGTATCTGAATGTTCGCAACTTAACTTTAAAAACGTATATTTAAATATTCCAGTGGACACCACCAGATGGCGCGAATGGGCTAGCGACGAAATGCAACAATTAAAATTTTTAGTAGGCTCCGTCAACAAGTCCTTTCCTCCTCGTTCATTCTATGACATGCAAGTTTTTTTTTATTATTAAAGTTGTCCCAGACTAAAATAACGAAGGAGCATCTGGTTCTTTTGACCTTTCTAAAAAGATCTATGTGACCAGTGGTGATGACACTACGGAATACTTAAAAAAATATTTTTCGTATATTGTTTTTACAATAGTTTTAAATCTGACCTTTGTCTTGATATTGACCATTGTGTCCTGATTGGCTCAGACTAGGACTAGCTGTTCACTAATTGGAGGTGTTACAAAACACTGGCTCCAAACACTCGAACCAGTCTCTTTAAATCGGGTTTATTTACTATTAACAGACGAATATGAAAAATATGGTAGGTGCACAATTTGTAATAAAAAA